ATTTTATCACACTTAGGTTATGGTCGTTTGACCAAATTCCGGTCATTGACTTATTATTATTATTATTATTATTATTTTTAATTTCGGCCAAATCAACCTTCAAAAATTTCTCTCTCTTTTCTCCTTTTCCCTCCAACTCAACTCTTATTTCTCCTTTATCCCTCCTCTCCGCCAACCCTAATTATTAAGAAACATCAATTCAACAATATTCGAATTTAGTCCGTCCCATTAAAATTAAAGAAATTTGAATCACATATTCAAATCAAGTGAAAACTTTGTTGTTAATATAATGTGGGTTGAATATAATAATCCCAAAAAAGTGGAAAAAGAATTTTTAAAAAAGATTTTTTAAATGTATTTTTGGTTGGAAAAAAAGTCACTGACCAGAATCCGGTTAAAGGACCCTATTTACAACCCACTTGTGATAAAAGGACCTTATTTGCCGCATTTTTTTTAATACAAAGACCTTTACCACAAAGTCGACCTCTTAAAATGACTTTTTTGACCATTTTTCCTTAATATTTCACGAAATATATATTTAAATGAAGATAACAATATTTATATTGAGAATAATTTACGGTTAAAATTTAAAATTTGACCTTCAATGGAGAAGCATGCATACCATTAGACTATTAGAGGATTGGAAGAAAGTCTGATTATTCTTTACATTAGTAGTCCTTCTCATCATGTAAAATTTATATTTTTGCTCTTTTTAGACGGTATTTTTTAATTTATAATAGCATTAAGTGAGATATAATCTTTACAAATATTGTTAACTTAAGAATTCTGTAGTGGATACAATCATCAATTAACCTATATTAAAAGCGAATCTACAATAACACTTGTCACAATATCATTAATAATTTTCCCTCCTTTTTGCATTTTTTTTTTTTTTGCCAAATTTTAATGACTTCCATTTTATAAGCTACAATAATACTTATTTCTATTTTGACAACATATCTAATCCAATCATACTCAATTAATATATATTTTTTTTTAACATATATTCTATATACTATTAATCTTTTCGTTACAAATTTACAAACATAGATTAAAAATAAGGTATTGAAATATATCATTGTCCAAGATTATTATAATATTAAGGAGTATCAATTTTTTCCTCCAAGGGGTGTCCGTTCGGTTTTCGGTTTGGATTTAGTCCAAATCCGATCCAATCCGAAATATAATTCGGTTTTCAAATTTCCAATCCGATCCGATCCGAATTTCTCTCTTGATCCAATCCGATCCGAATTTCTCTCTTGATCCAATCTGAATTAAAATTCGGTTATTTGGATCCGATCCGAAAATCCGAATTATAATACATTATTTTTTAGCGTCTAATACAATTATGAAAATAAAGCTTTACTATAAATAAAAGTCTTCAAAATCACGATTAAAATAAATAGTTCAACGTCAAGTCATTAATTAATTAATACAAAATCTCTCTAATTTATTTTATGTAATAGTAAGTATTTGAGCTAAACTTCAAAATATACAGAAATCCATATTTATACAAGCTTAATTTTATAATTCGGATTTCGGTTTGAATTGGATCCCATTAGGGTCAATCCAATCCAATCCGAAAATTCGAATTTCCAAAAAATCTCAATCTTATCCGATCCGATTTAAAGTTCGGATTCGATCCGAATTGATAATTCGGTTTGGATTGGATTGGATTTCGGTTTTTATCCAAATTATGGACACCCCTAATCATTTGGCAATAAAATTTATTTTAGTTAAAAATAGAAAAATCATTTTGGTAGAGTAATTTGTATGAATCTTAAAATTATACACAACGTCTATACAAACAACTTCACAAAATTATTTTATTATATTATACTCCCTCCGTTTTTTATAGACTAGAATTGGATTTGCACATTTGCCGAGACACAACTTTAATTATCAACATATTTTATTAGAGATTATTAAAAATTATGATAATATATATATATATATATATATATATATATATATATATATATATATATATATATATATATATATATATATATATATATATATATATATATATAAGCTGACAATATGACAAATCCAACAACATATTATATTATCATATTTATATTGTATATTGATAAAATAAATTAAGTAAATGATGACACATGAATAGTGTAAAATATTTTAACTCAACATATATTGAAAACTTCAATCTAATTACTCTACACATTTTATGCAATATGATTATTAAAATTAAAATAAAAACCGCTACTACTCACTATGAATATATTTTTAAAAAGTTGATTACGGAATACTAATTATCCTAAAGTAATATAAAATCAACTAAATTTTCATTTAATGCCGGTCAAAGTGTGTCAACAAAAATATAAGGGCGAATGTATATGAGTTCGTATACGGGTACTAACTTTTTTTTTAAGACATATACGGGTACTAACCTAAGCTTATAATTTCATTTTCTTATATTAAACCTAATAGCTTCTAAATTTCTATTACTAAATTATTTTTTATAAAATAATTCAAAATAATAACCTTTACGCATTTGGTATAAATTAAAATTCAAGTTATTTGTCTCAAATATTTTTTTTTGAATAAACTATTGTTAAATTAACAACCAAACTTATTCCCCTCAAAAAAAAAAAAAAAAAAAAAAACCATTCTTTATAATTTTTGTTGTAAAGTTAATTATAATCGTGCATGGCATGGAACTTAACCTAGTTTCAAAGTAAAGACTTTTTAGTTGTTATATACACTTTACTTGAAGATGATAAAAATAATGGTAATTAACTAATCATACTAATCACATGGAGACATTATCTACCAATTCAATCTGGCATATTTTACCGATTAAACAAATGCTCATTGTATATTGGTAAATGGTAATAAACTAATAAAGTAATAATACAACCCTGATGCTTACATATACTACGTATAATCCATTTTTGTTTTTTTTAATTGGAATTGATTTAGGAATGCATGGGAGGTTTAACTAATGTTTGTTTTTATTTTTATTTATTTATTTATGGAATCTTTAACTTAAATTTTTTTCTCTAGGTCCTTAATTGAGGTACCACAATTTTGCGTTAGTGGTTGTGTACTTGTAAGAGTGAGTTAGGAATAAGCTTGATAGCTAGTACTCCATTATGTACGTGTGTTCATTGGAAGTTCGAAACATCTATACTATATATTAAAAAGCGTTCCTACAGAATTTAGGTGGCACGTGGCGATCTCCTCAAGGCATTCCTAAAGAAGTTTAGGTGCTACGTGGCGCTTTCCTCATTTAATCTAATTTTCACTCCATGTCTAAAAACATGGTTCTTATAAGATTTGAACCAACAACCTCAAGTTTAAATTTCAACGTGTTAGCCACTAAGCTAATACCATATTACATGTCATTCAATCAAAAATAAATATTAATAAAGATTTTTATCATAAATATAATGCAGTAACTCGGGGCATTGCCCGGGCCTAACACTAGTTACATTTGAAAAGAAAAGTCAGTAAGTCATGAACCAAAACAAACGGTGAGAAGACTTTGAAATTCAATGTTGTCATGAACCAAATCAAACGGCAAGACGACTTTGAAAAGTCAGTAGGCACACGACTTTGAAATTCAATGTTGTCATGAACCAAATCAAACGGCAAGACGACTTTGAAAAGTCAGTAGGCACACACATCATAGGATTAGACCAGTCAATCGGGTCGGAGTCGGGCCACTTCGGGTCATGGTCATTTTGGTCGGGTCACTTTAGATCACAGGCCAAGAATTGTTCACTTCTAATTTAATTAAATTTTGCCTACTTTTTAAAAATACTTGATTTTTCAAACTTCTTTGGTATTTATTTTCAATTCAACATTTTGTTCGTTCGGGTTTGATCCCAATTTCTCATACTCCCTCCTTGTTTTTTTAATTGTTACACTTTGACCGTCACAGAGTTTTAGGCAATTTAATTGACTTAAATAAAATAAGAGGTAAGTGGGGTAGTTGGAGTATTAAAAAATCGTAAAAGAAAAATAGTGAGGTTAATAATTTATTGAAAAATAATGAATGTGAGAGGAAAGATATAATAAAAAAGTAGTAGCGGATTTGGGTGGGGACCATGAGAGAAGAGATATATAATATTTTAATGTAACTTTTTGCCAAAAAAGGAAGTGTAACACTTAAAAAAACACGGCCGGAAATGAAAAGTGTAACACTTAAAAAAACACGGAAAGAGTAGTGAGAAACAAAACAAAATTTGTTTCTTTGTTAGGAATATTAGGAAAATATTTATCTCATATCTTGTACATATTTATTGTATATTTAGTTTCCTAGTTTATAGGTATAATTATCTTGAGATATCTTTTGATATTCCTTAGGAAACTATGTACTATATATGATGAATGAATGAATGAATGAGGGTCTCTAAACTATCTCTTGGAAAACCAAAAAGCAGAAAACTGTAGCTACTAGTTCTGCAGATGCGGATTATCGCTCTATGGCCATTATTACTCATGAGTTGAAGTAGTCTTGGCAAACAGGTCATTCGGGTCGGGTTCGGGTCGGGTCAAGTTCGGGTCAGCAAATGTTGGGGTCGGGTTCGGGTCGAGTCGGGTCGACTCAGGTTTCGAGTCAAATTCAGATCAGCACTTCGGGTCAAGTTCGGGTCATGCCAAGTTCGGGTCGGGTTAAGTTCGGGTCGAGTCTTTTCGGGTCGGGTCAATATTTAAGCTCAATTTTCGGGTCAATTTCGAGTCGGGTCAATTTCGGGTCGAGTCAACTCGGGTCGGGTCTATTCGGGTCAAGTTTGTGTTGGGTCACCAAAATAAATTCACTTAAAAAAAAATAGTTGGAAAAATAAAGTAAAATCGTTAAAAAAAAAAAATCGTGAGTACCTATTACTTAGAAAATAAAGAAGCCTTAAAACAAGTAGTTCACCATTTCATCCTATTCTCTTATTATTTGGGTCAATTCGGGTTAAAATTGGGTCGGGTCACTTCGGGTTTCGGGTCATTTCGGCTGCAGCAACCGTACCGGCCATGTCATCATGCTTAATCTTCCAGCTTATGCCAATGGGTACATGAGTTATCTGGAAGGTAAGTTGGACCCTTCCCTGTTTGAGCTAACTCATTTGAAATATTTGGACCTTAGTAAAAATGGTTTCTTCCAGACTATACCCAGTTCCATAGATTCCCTCACTGAGTTAGAGTACCTCAATTTATCTAGTGCTGGCTTTTTTGGTGAAATTCCTCCCCAACTCGGAAACCTTTCCAAATTAGCATCTCTTGATCTCCGTTTTTATTATGATCCTCTTAGTTTTGATGGGATTGCTGTTAACAACCTCACTGCTAAAAGCTTACGGTGGATGTCTGGTCTAACATTGTTGAGAGAACTCCACCTTAGTGAAGGTAGTAATCTTAGTGAAGCCACCGATTGGGTCCAAACCATCAACAATCTTCCTTCCCTTAGAAAACTTTACTTGGATGAATGTCAGCTTCCTGCTACATTTTCATCATCATCACTTTCATACATCAATTCCTCATCCTCTCTTCGTGTTGTTAGCCTTTCTTTTAATGATTTCAATGACTCTTCGATATTCAAGTGGTTGTTCAATTTGAGTAGAAATGGTGACCAACTTGAATATCTTGACCTTTCTTGGAACTCACTTTCAGGGCCTATTCCAAATTCATTTGGGAAGTACATGCAGTCCCTTTCTGAAAGTCTAACTGGCTAATACAAGAGGGGGGGGGGGGGTGAATTGTATTTGAGATGAAATCTAAAAACTTTTGCGAAATTTAACTAAATGAAATAATGACGAGAGAAGATATAGGCTTTTCTAAATTTCCACTATGTAATCAAACTCTTTACAAGTGAAGATTCAAACCCGTTAACAAGTTCCACAAATTAGGAACTTGTTCCCAACTCTCACAGAAGCCTTCAGCAGCGAAGCTTCCTTGACCTCACCTTACACAAACTCACAATCCCAAACCCCAAAGTGCTTCAATACAATCTGTAATTACAAATACCTATTACACTCAAGAATATATGAAGGAAAATAACTCTCTTTATGTTATTAGGTTGCTACTGGAATTTTTATGCTCAAGAGTTGTGTTTTTCTGAGATAGTTTGCATGAGTATTTATAGAGAAGGCTTAGTCATTAACCTCCACTATAATCACGTCCACATGGCAACACCCCACTAACAACTTGTGGAGTTATCTTGATAGATGGTGATCAAGAAGGAGGTTTCCTAGCCTTATCTCACTAATCCACTATCTCAACAACTTGATAAACATTAGCTTTGATAAAACCGTATAATCAGAGATTTTCACAACAAAGAAAACTGCTTGCTAACTTTATCAAAAATTTGTTTTAAAAAGATTTTATTTTAAAAAGGATTTTATTTGAAAAGATAAATTAATTATTTATATTAAAACAACTAGATAATTATCTTAGATAATTATCTTTTATTCGAAAATAGATGACTAGATAAAACTTTTATAAATTATCTTTTTCCTTAAGAAATTATCTTTTAAAACTAACTTTTATTCCAGTAGTCTTTTTAATAACATAAGTCATTGAGTTCCTTTCTGACTTTATATTATTGAGTGCTCACAATTAAAACTAGAACGTGAGATTTGCATGAGGCTTTTTAGAGAATGTTACTCCGCATCCAAGTTCCTACTCCGGAACGAACTTTGCTTGAACCCTTTATTCACCAAAGACTCAAAACATTCATTAGTTGAGTTTGTCAATTTGTCCATCAAAACCAAAAGGCTCAACAAATTCCCCCTTTTTGATGATGACAAACATTGACAAACTTAGGTAAATAAAATCATCCAGGCATGCAACAAAAATTTAAAGCAAGACATGAAAAAAAAAACAAACAAAGTAATTAAAGAACTTAGAAAAATACTAAAAAGTATTTGTTTTAACAAGACTGAGCAAAAGAAAAAATTAACAAAGACTTTAAAAACTTAGATTACTAGGACTTTATTGAGTTAACTGAACTTAGCAAAAGTTTGTACCTTCGATGTGTGAGTTCCTTGGTAAACACCTTAGCCACCATGAAGTTTGTCTTTTCCCCCTTTTGGCATTATCAAAAGATTGAAAAAAAACATTTTGCTATACTCCCACTAGACTACGTAGGGAATAGTGAGCTCAAATAATGCAAGGCAAAAATAAGTTAGGTATTAAATTATCAGCAAACACACACAATCATATGAAAAGTACGAGCCAAGTTCCCATAGACGAAAATCAAAAGCAGGAAAGAGTAGCAAGAGTTAAGAATTACAAACTGAAATCCAAATGAAACAAGCAAAAGCAAACGAAATTAAAAGTGACAAGTTCGAAATTGCAATTATGGGGAATAGGTAGGTTCATCAGCTGGGTTTATTGGGTCATTAGAAGCTTCCTCCACTTCTTCAAAAGCCACCCTGTTAATCGTCTCCAATATCTCCTGAGTGCTATGCAGTATGTTCTTCTCAGCAGCATCAACCTTGTTCTCCATCCCAGTAAAACTATTTGCCTGAGTGTCTGCCACAGCCTGCACTTGGCGTTGAAGAGAAGTCAACTGCTTTGCCATTTCCTCCAGCTTTGTGCTCACTATCTTTGTCAGCTGCTCCATTACTGCTTTCACCTGTTGAATATCAAAAACAGAAGCATTTGTTCCAGAGAAGGCAGCAAAGCCTGTAGGCTGCGACGTAGGAAAAGCTGGGGAGGGAGAGGGAGAAGTCTGTTTTGGAGGTGAAACAGGAGTGGAAGAGGGTTTAGCTTGTTTTGGGGGGGATTCATGAACAGAAGATGGCTCAGAAGCAAAAGGAACTTGTGTAGGGGTAAAATCAGGGTCAGAGTGATCTGAAGAACTAATGTCTTCAATAATCACAGGCTTTAGAGTAGAAATAGTAGGTTTGAAAATTTTCCTCTTACTCCTCCTGAGTTCCCCTTTAAAAGGGAGGTCAAGACTCTCACTTTCTGAACTAGATTCCCCCTCACTCTGAGTCTCCTCTTCTTTCTCAGATTTTGCCTCCTGTGGTTCCCCCTCAGAAATTTCTTCCTCCTCTTTGTCTTCCTCTCCTTTTTCTTTACTTTCTTCTTTTTCAGATTCACTTTCCTCCTCTTCTGACTCACTTGTATCTCCTTCTACAACCTGTGTTTTCCCTTTTCCACTATTTTTCTCCTCTCCTCCTCTAGTCAAGAAAGTAATTATCCCACTCTCAAGTTTAAGGCTCAGGCGAAGCAAATATTGCTCCGAAAGAATGTTCTCAGGTTTAATATAAGTGGGTGACTCACTTTCAACATCAATCCCAAAAGACTTAAACAACACAGTAAGGAGAGATCCATATGGAATAGTAGTTTTAGCAGCATAGAAAACCAAATGTTCAATCATCAGTTTTGGAAAGTTTATTTTTATTTTCCGAGCAAGACAAAAGATGATGGTTGCATCTAGTAAGGATACTGTGCTTCGTTTTTGCAAACGGGGAACAATGCCTCTCCATGTGAAATTGAACAGTAATTTGTGAAGAGGAGTGAGTATGTTATGATGTGAAGTCTTGCTTTTCGGGTTTCCACCTATAAATTTGATTATTCTATTCTCATCATAATGCCCAATTTGCACAATTTGTTTGTGTTTTAGGTACGAACTATAGCCAGAGGTGGGGACTTGAAACAAGTTCCCTAAATATGCAACATCAAAATGAATGTGAGTATCTTTGACTGTAGCCGTGCATACACCATTGTTGTGTTTGAAAGTATTTTTAAATTCAAACAGAAGCTTAGGGTAAATTGGATAGTGAGAACAATTTTGGAACAAATGCACCCATTCTTGATAATCAATTAAGGAGATGAATTCGGAGAACTTACTTGCCGTACACCAGTCATAATTGATGTGATAGCCGTGAGTGTAGTTCCAAGATGGAAACTTTTGAGAGCTTCGCCTCTTTCTGTCGCCTCCTTTCACGGTTGTAGTCTTTCTCTTTGTTTGAGCTTGTGGGTGAACGACGACAAGTGGGACTGGTTCAGGGGAGCCGTCAGCAGAGGAAGGTTTGGGAGGAGGTATTCGGGTTTTTAGTGGTTTCGGTGTTGAGTTTAGGTTGGTTTTCATGGTTATGAAGGTGAGTTGAAAGGAAGGAGAAGATGAATAGTGTGAATAGGAAGGAGAGAGAGTGAGGCCGGTTTTTATGAGGGTGTATGGAGAAGTCAATTTGATGTGATTGGTGAGGGTGGAGTGTTAAAGAAAAAGAGTTTAATTGGGAAGGGTGAGAAAAAGTGACGGTTTATACGGTGAGGTAGTAGAGTAGTTTTAGAGGCAGTAGGATTTTAATAGGGTGGATTAATTGCAATAGTCAAACTTAACACAATAAAAGATAAACTTTTAAAAGATAAGAAATATACGGAAAGTAAGGAGTAGTGAATATACTAGCTCCTTATCTTACGAAAAAAAATCTTTTTGTATTTTTGAATTATATGAGGAATAGAAAAAGAATTGAACATAAAAAAATAAGGAAGGAAAAAGATAAGAATAAAAAATAAGGAAAAAAAAATAATAACAAGAAGGAAAATAGATAGAAATTTTTTTTAAAAGATAGATAAGTGCAAATTGATCGTAAATTATGATGATAATTTACGTGATCATGATACAGAGAATAAAGAATGATGAAAAGGGAACTTGAAACAACATGGCTCAATATTTTTAACATATTAAAAGTATGTATAAGTGACTTTTCAATACTTCACAAATCTTTCCCCTGGGTAATTTCAGCTGTGTTATGCACACAAGATTGAGCATAGCATTGTTAGTTACATCCGATTTTACCTTAGGGGTTCCAAACAAAAATCACTTTAGCCGTAGCATCCCCAATTCCACACGCATCTTTTCAAACTTGTCTCTGCTTAAAGGCTTAGTTAATATATCAGCAATTTGACATTCAGTAGAAATAAAATCTAGCTTAATTAAGCCCTTTTCAACATTATCTTTCAAAAAGTGATGCCTTACATGTATATGCTTAACTTTAGAGTGTTGTACTGGATCTTTAGAGATGCAAATGGCACTTGTGTTATCACAATGAATAGGAACGCACTCTAAAATAATGCCATAGTCACGCAACTGTTGTTTTATCCATAGCAATTGAGAGCAACATGCAGCAGCAGCCACATATTCTGCTTCGGCAGTGGATAGAGCAACAGTGTTTTGTTTCTCGGAACTCCAAGAAACCATGCAAGAGCCTAAGAATTGGACCATACCTGACGTGCTTTTACGATTTACTAAATCTCCTGCATAGTCAGCATCAGCATATCCTCTTAGGTCAAATGAGTAACTTTTTGGATAGAACAGACACAAGTCTTCCGTCCCTTTTAAGTATCGTAGAATCCTTTTGACGGCTGTTAGATGCGATTCCTTTGGATCTGATTGAAATCTTGCACAAAGACCTACACTAAACGAAATGTCAGGTCTGCTAGCAGTTAAATATAACAAGGAACCAATCATACCTCTGTATTTTGTTTGGTCCACACGAGTTCCCTTGGGGTCTTGGTCCAACCTTGTGGTTGTTCCCATGGGAGTGTGGTTTATCTTTGTGCTTTCCATACTGTATTTTTTCAATAACTCCTTCACATATTTCTGCTGATGGATCATTATTCCTTAGTTAGTTTGCTTAATTTGGAGCCCAAGGAAGAAGTTGAGTTCCCCCATCATGCTCATCTCAAACTCACTGCTCATTAAATCGGCAAAGTACTTGCACAAGGATTCATTAGTTGCACCGAAAATAATATCATCAACATAAATTTGTACAATTAATAAATGAGTTCCTTTTGATTTTAAGAACAAAGTTTTATCAACTTTTCCTTTTTTGAAACCATTTTGTAAAAGGAATTTAGAAAGTCTTTCATACCAGGCTCTTGGAGCTTGTTTTAATCCATACAGTGCTTTATCAAGCTTAAAAACATGGTTAGGAAAGTTTGGATCCTCAAATCCAGGTGGTTGTTCAACATAGACGTCTTCCTTTAAAAAACCATTTAAAAAAGCACATTTGACGTCCATTTGATAAAGTTTAAAACCCATAAATGCAGCAAATGCAATTAAAATACGAATTGCTTCTAATCTAGCTACAAGAGCGAAAGTCTCCTCAAAATCGATACCTTCCTGCTGATTGTAGCCTTTAACAACCAATCTTGCCTTGTTCCTTACAATTGTGCCATGTTTATCTAGCTTATTTCTGTATACCCATTTGAGACCAATAACCTTTTGATTCTTTGGTTTAGGTTCAAGGTGCCACACTTTGTTTCTTTCGAATTCATTTAATTCCTCTTGCATGGCAACAATCCAATCAGCATCTTCCAAGGCTTCTTTGTGATTTCGAGGTTCCAGTGTTGATAGGAAGGCGTTGAATGCACAAAAGTTTCTCAGTTGGGATCTCGTCTGAGTTCCCTTTCTTAGGTCACTTATAATTTTATCCAGGGGGTGTGACCTTTGATGTTTCCATGGCTTTGGTTGGAATGATTGAGCTGGTATAAAAGTGTTATTTTGAGTTGCTCTTTCTTCCATTTCTTCATGGTGTTCTGCTTCTGCATTTGCTTCGCCTTCTGTGTTTTCTGTTTCTTCTGTATTTTGAACAGAGGCTTCAGTATTATTTGGAACTTCAGTAGGTTCCTTATCAGTATTTTCAGTAATTCGAACAGGCTGCTTTCTGGGAATTAATTCTTCATCTTGGTCTGTTGAACGAGTGAGACCAATTTCAAAATCTCCATCTTCATATTCCTGTATACAATCATAATTATTAGTTTCATCAAAAATCACATGTATACTTTCTTCTACACACATAGTCCTCTTATTGTAAACTCTATAAGCTTTACTATTAGATGCATATCCTAAAAAGACTGCTTCATCACTCATTTCATCAAATTTTCCAAGATTTCTTTTATCATTATTGTGAACAAAGCATTTGCATCCAAAGGCTCTTAAATGAGCAATATTAGGTTTTCTCCCTTTTAACAGTTCATAAGGTGTCTTGTCCAACATTGGTCTGAGCATGGCTCGGTTGATGATGTAGCATGCTGTGTTGACAGCTTCTGCCCAAATATTCCTTGGAAGCCCACTTGCTATTAGCATTGTTCTATCCATGTCTTCCAATGTTCGGTTCTTCCTCTCAACCATACCATTTTGTTGTGGTGTTCTTGGCGCTGAGAAATTGTGACTTATTCCCTGTTCCCTGCAAAATTCATCAAACTTGGAATTTTCGAATTCCGTACCATGGTCAGTTCTCATATGAATAAGTTGATTACCTATTGATTTTTGTGTCTTTTTCAAGAAAGTCATAAACATATCAAAAGTTTCATCTTTACTATGTAAGAATATGACCCATGTAAATCTAGAATAATCATCCACAAGAACTAAGACATATCTTTTTCCACTTCTACTTTGAATTCTAACGGGGCCACACAAATCCATATGAATGAGTTCCAATGGTTTTGTTGTGCTTACCATTTTCTTTGATTTAAATGATGATCGAACATGCTTTCCTTTGATGCAGGCTTCACAAATTTTGTCATTTAGGAACTTGATAGAAGGTAATCCGATTACCAAGTCCTTTGACCTTAATTTGTCAAGCAATGAAAGACTAGCATGGCCAAAACTTTTATGCCATAGAAGTGGATCATCCTCAATAACACTTAAACAAGATAGATTGTATTTTGGAACTTTGTTAAGGTCCACGGTATACGTGTTCCCTTTACGAGTTCCTTCCAAAACGATTTTTCCAGTGTTATTGTTGATGATTTTGCATTTTTCAGAAGAAAAGCTTACAGAGTTTCCTTTATCACAAAACTGAGAAATACTGAGTAGATTATGCTTCAAACCCTCGACTAAAAATACATTGTCAATTGCATGGGAACTTGACCTTCCTACTTTGCCAACAGCAACAATGTTGCCTTTCTTATTGTCTCCAAAGGTCACTGTTCCCCCTGTATAGGCCGTCAGTGAGAGAAATCTGGATTCATCTCCTGTCATGTGCTTAGAACAACCGCTATCGAGGTACCACTGGTTGTTCCCCCTCACTGCGACCTGCAAAAGAAATTAAGGGTTAGTAGCAGGAACCCTTTCATTCATGGGTTCCTGTGTTGACACATTTGAATCAGATTTCTTCTGCCAAACATAGTTCACATTCTTATTGTACTGTTTTGCTTTCTTAGTACATTCTTCACTGCGATGTTCTTGTTTACCACAAAATGAACAAACAGTCTCACTAGGCAAATCCACATACTTCTTTTTCTTTCCAGTAGACTTCTTCTTATGGACATAGCCTAGACCTTCTGTTCTTTTTGTCTGAGCTTCCTTTACCCACTTGGGAACACCCGTGCTTGCTGTATTTTTACTTTTTCTTGCAATTTCTAGGTCCTTTTCTAGTTTCAAATTTTTATCATTAGTATCCTTTATCTCTTTCTTAACATGCTCTAGTTCATTATTAAACATGATTAAAGGAACTTCAGTAGACCTGCAAGAATCAATGTTAGTACACAACATTTTATATTGAGTCAATTCAATATTCAGCATGATATTCTCACTCTTGACTCTTTCAAGGGATTCTTTTAGCATAATATTTTTATCTAACAATTCAAAGAATCTGCCTTGAACATAATTTCTTAAGCTATTCAGATACTTAACATGATCTCTACAAATTCCAGTTGCCTTTTCGGCTTGCTTTAGTTTTGCACATAATTCTTTATATTCATCTAAGGTTTCTAACAATAAAGAGATTAACTTATCCTTTGAGAGAGATTTCAAATAACTAGGTTGAATGACTACCTCATCATCATGCTTTGACATTAGACAGAGATTGGCTACTTCATCGTCTGTGTGTTCCTGTTCCTCTTCTTCGGAACTTGATTCTCCCCACGTGGAAATCATTGCTTTCTTGAAATTTGTTTTAGAAAAGTTAGGCTTGGAGTTTCTGTTTTGATCAGCTTCTTTTCCCTTGCCTTTCTCAGATTCCCATAATGGACACTTTTTGATGAAGTGGTTGGTGCTTCCACATTTGTGACAAGAAGACTTGGCTTTGGATTCCTGATTTCTTTTACTGTATCCTTTCTTCTTGTCTAAAAACTTGTTGTTACGGTAGAATTTTTTCAGCATTCTCACCAACATTGCAGCTTCTTCTTCATCAATGTCAGACTTCTCTTCGGATTCTTCATTAGCTCTTAGTGATAGCCCTTGACTTTTGACAGTCTCCTGAGTCTGATTGTTCGACTGGATCTCGTGGGTAATGAGGGAACCCGCAAGCTGTTCCAGATTGAACTTGGTGAAGTCTTTTGATTCCTGCACAGCTGCAACCTTTGCTCTCCATCTGTCATTGTCTGGAAGACTTCTTAAGACCTTTCTGACCTGCTCATCTATAGGAATTATCTTACCAAGACACGTTAGTTCGTTAGTAATACTTTTAAATCGAGTAAACATGTCTTTAATGGATTCTTTGTTTCCCATTTCAAAGCGCTCATACTGAGACAAAAGAATGTCTATTTTGGAACGTTTAACATCTGACGTTCCTTCATGTGTAACTTCCAGAAGATCCCAAATTTCCTTTGCGGATTTGCACCCTTTGACACGAGTATGTTCATCGGGTCCAAGTCCCCAAATTAGAAACTTTTTGGAAGTAGCATTCATTTCTAGTTTTTCGAAATCAGTTTTTTCATATTCATCCATAGGTTTAGGGATTACCTCATTGTTAGCATTCGTTTTCGTAATTTCGTAATCTCCTACTTGTATAATCCGCCATACCTGATAGTTCTTTGCTTGGATAAAGATTTCCATCTTATCCTTCCAATAAGGATAATATTTGCCGTTGAAGTATGGAGGCCTTTGAATGGATGTACTCCCGAATTCCTTTTCCTCTGTGTAAGCCATTTTCCCAGGAACTTACTCAACAGGGTTGCCTGCGTGCTCTGAGTTCCTGCTCTGATACCAGCTGAAAGTCTAACTGGCTAATACAAGGGGGGGGGGTGAATTGTATTTGAGATGAAATCTAAAAACTTTTGCGGAATTTAACTAAATGAAATAATGACGAGAGAAGATATAGGCTTTTCTAAATTTCCACTATGTAATCAAACTCTTTACAAGTGAAGATTCAAACCCGTTAACAAGTTCCACAAATTAGGAACTTGTTCCCAACTCTCACAGAAGCCTTCAGCAGCGAAGCTTCCTTGACCTCACCTTACACAAACTCACAATCCCAAACCCCAAAGTGCTTCAATACAATCTGTAATTACAAATACCTATTACACTCAAGAATATATGAAGGAAAATAACTCTCTTTATGTTATTAGGTTGCTACTGGAATTTTTATGCTCAAGAGTTGTGTTTTTCTGAGATAGTTTGCATGAGTATTTATAGAGAAGGCTTAGTCATTAACCTCCACTATAATCACGTCCACATGGCAACACCCCACTAACAACTTGTGGAGTTATCTTGATAGATGGTGATCAAGAAGGAGGTTTCCTAGCCTTATCTCACTAATCCACTATCTCAACAACTTGATAAACATTAGCTTTGATAAAACCGTATAATCAGAGATTTTCACAACAAAGAAAACTGCTTGCTAACTTTATCAAAAATTTGTTTTAAAAAGATTTTATTTTAAAAAGGATTTTATTTGAAAAGATAAATTAATTATTTATATTAAAACAACTAGATAATTATCTTAGATAATTATCTTTTATTCGAAAATAGATGACTAGATAAAACTTTTATAAATTATCTTTTTCCTTAAGAAATTATCTTTTAAAACTAACTTTTATTCCAGTAGTCTTTTTAATAACATAAGTCATTGAGTTCCTTTCTGACTTTATATTATTGAGTGCTCACAATTAAAACTAGAACGTGAGATTTGCATGAGGCTTTTTAGAGAATGTTACTCCGCATCCAAGTTCCTACTCCGGAACGAACTTTGCTTGAACCCTTTATTCACCAAAGACTCAAAACATTCATTAGTCGAGTTTGTCAATTTGTCCATCAAAACCAAAAGGCTCAACACTTTCATATCTTGACCTTACTCGTAATCAATTTGAAGGTTCCATTCCTATTACTTTTTCAAACTTGAGGGCCTTGAGAAAACTCTCATTCTTTGGCAATAAACTTAATGGCCCCCTTTTAAATGCCTTCCAAGCTCAATCATGTGGGTGTGCGAACAAGCCACTTTTAGAGCATCTGGATTTGAGTATGAATTGTTCTTGTTCAATCTAAATTATCTAAACATTTCTCACAATATGATTCATGGGGTGCTCCCTAATTTGTCAACATCCTTTGACAACCTCGAAGTTATTGACTTGAGCTCAAACTACTTTGAGGGGTCAATCCCATCTTTTGTTGGAGATAAATATGTTCGGTCAGTACGCCTGAACCATAACATGTTTTCGGATGCCACTCAACTATTGTGTCCAAAAATAGCTAGTTCGGAGCTAGAAGAGCTTGATCTATCAAACAACTTGTTATCTGGAAAGCTTCCAAACTGTTTGATGAAAATGCAGTTTCTCCAATATTTGCACTTGGAAAACAATAAATTCTCTGGAAATATACCAACATCCATTGGTGACCTATTAGAACTCCAATATTTGCACTTGCAAAATAATAACTTTTCAGGAGAGTTCCCGGAATCAATGTTGAATTGTATAAACTTAATATTTCTAGATGTTGGGTATAATTCTTTAACTGGCTATATACCACCGAGCATTGGATATGATTTTAAAGATCTCGCTTTTCTTAGCTTACGTGGTAACAACTTTATTGGAAAATTGCCTTTAAGCCTTTGTCAATTATCCAATCTTCACATGTTGGATGTTGCCATGAACCGCATATCAGGCACTATTCCAAATTGCTTATATTATTAGAACTTGGTTATATTGATGTTCGAGTTGGTGAATATGATCATGCGGTTGAATTGTTTAAGGAAGCTGCAATAATTGAGTGGAAAAGAGAAGCGCAAAGATTTGGAGAAAAATTATTAGGACTAGTGAATTATATTGATATGTCAAATAATGAGCTAGAAGGAGAAATTCCAGATGAAATCTCAAATCTTACTAATTTACTGTCCCTTGATTTATCAAGAAACAAGTTGACCGGAAGAATTCCGTCAAATATTGGGCAGCTTACTTCATTAGAACTTCTGGATTTATCAAACAATCACCTGTCTGGTGTTATACCTGCAAGCCTTGCCGATGTGAGTTTTCTTGGAACCTTAAATTTGTCGAACAACAACTTGTCAGGGAGGATTCCACTCAGCACTCAGTTGCAAGGCTTTGATCCTTCATCGTACATGGGAAACCCGTTGCTTTGTGGGGAACCCCTTCAAAAATGTGCCGATGATGAACCACCCGCAGGAGGAAATATCATCCATCAAGAGAAGCATGGACATGATAATTTTTATCTAGGGCTGTGCATCAGCGTGGTGCTCGGATTTATTGTTGGATTTTGGGGAGTTTGCGGGTCTTTAGTGGTGAAAAGATCATGGAGACATGCCTTTTTCAGCTTCTTTGGCGACATCAAAGACAAGATTTACGTCATGATGGTTGTAAATGTAGCCAAAATTTGGAGAAAAGATTGAAGGTATAGTACTTTTTATTGTTTCATATTTTCACTATTGGTACATTACTAATTCAGCCAAGCAATGAATATTCAATTTTTTTACAGGATAATTCTTTATCTGGTGCATTATGTTGTTCATCATTTTCATCCTATATTTATTGGGTAATGTTATTACTTGTCTTTTCCCTGACTAATAATTGTATTACTTATCAATTTATGGCCTAATCAATTTTCTTCTCCTGTCCAATTTGGCAGTGTCATTCTCGTATTTGTTGGGCTTCCGATCAGTGGCTTGAACAAGAAAAGATCATTGTTTACGTTGTGTAACAAGTCGATAATAATTATATGTACTTTATGTAGCTGTTGTTGTGTGCAAGTAGAATGTGTAAGTGTTGCACTTATTAAAGGGCTATGTAATAAACAGTACTTTCTAAGTTTCTATCTCTGTTTCCAGTGGCTTAGCCCACAATCTAGCAAGTTTAAGGTTAACTTCTCAGCATATTTTATAAATTTTAAGGCTAGTTAAAATCTACTTGAATTAGTATCAATCAATTACATTATACTAAAGGCGAAACTTAGAGAACACTTGGCAAAATATTATAAAAAGTTTTCCCTCCAAAACCACTTACTAAAAAAAATTATTGTAATTAAATTATGACTTTTAGTTTGTATAATAAAATCTAAAATAAATGTCCTTAAATATCAAATTGCCAATTATACCTATTACATGTTTAATTAATTTCTTTCACAATATTTCATACTTTTTACTACTAAGGGCCTGTTCATATTTACTTATTTTCATTTCAGTTCAGTTCAGTTCAGTTTTATGCATTTTAATTTTTCAGTTCAGTTCAGCTCCAATCAGTTCAGTTCAGTTCAGCTCAGTTCAGTAAATATGAACAGGCCCTAAGTCTATTTATAATAATAATATTTATATCCATTATTTTTGGTAAAATTTATTGTCACTAGAATTATTTAACAACCGTGCATTGCACGGGGTTTAATCTAGTGCATCTATAAAAATGAACTTTTATGTTGGCTTCAAATCTAGCCTTTTTATAGCGTCTCAGCTCCTAGCTACATCTTAAACAAACAATAATTTTAAACTCATTCGTATACAACAATATTAAAGCATCTTCTAAATCAATTTCAGTAACGTATAAGCCTTCCCAAACACAGAAATTGTTAATTAGAAAATTAGTGAGCCTCTTTAATCTCAAACAACCCACCTTTCAATAACGATCAATGGGAAAATTTGAAAATCACGACCCTCAACCACCGAACAAATGATAATGGTAATCACCTATCAGATGCATGGAGACATAATCTACCAATATTCATATGGCATATATTATGGACTAAACAAATGCTCGTTATATAGAGGTATTAATACTATCCTTATGCTTACACATTATTCCGTATACACTTTTTAATTTGGATTTGATTTAGAAATGAATGATATCAGTTTAATTAATGTTTGATTTTTGTTTTTATTTTTATTCTTTTGATAGAAAGTTAAACTTAAAATTTTCTCTTATAGGTCCTTAATTGAAATACCACTATGTACGTGTTCATTGGAACATTACATTTGAAAAGGGGGGAGTGAGTCATGAACCAAAACAGACGATAAGAAGACTTTGGAATCAATGTTGTCATGAACCAAAACAAACGGTAAGACGACTTTGAAAAGTCGATCAGTAGTCACACACCACAAGGGCACAAGTTGGATATATGATTGTTACGAGCAGGCTTGTCTTGTGCGACTTTATTTATACGTTCAAATCAAAGGAACTACCGAGTATTGATTTAATTTATTTTGTTTGGCAAACTAGATAATGAATATTATTAACTCTACCCCGTGAATAATCAACTAGTCTAGTTGATTAAAGTTTTGAGGGTGGTACTCAAGTCAAGATATAAAATCTAATATAGTCTACATCAATTGCTTTTGCAACTCTCTTAAAAAAAAATATATAATAATAATAAAAAAAAATAATAATAATAATAATTTAAGACTCTACCCCAGTCTTAGTCTTGACTAAAATAGCACTCTTAGTGGACCATATTTAGGAAATTTCAGTAGCTTGATCCTCGTTAGATGAACACCAAAGGGTCAAAGACTTATTTTTTTAACCAAGTTAGTTGACATTTATAAACCTAACACTAATATAAATCCATATATAATTTGATTAATTTCTTATGGCAAGGACGACATGATGCACAATAGACAATACTGCCCCATCAATATACTAAGAATTAGTTGTTAAATGTACTAAGTAGTATCTCCGTTTTCTTGATTGCAAAACTTGTCAGATCTGCCTTCTTTTAAAATGCATGGGTTCTCCAAACTTTATAAATATTATTATATCTTTAATCTCTCTAATACTCTATAATGTTATTCTTTTCATGATTTCATCCCTCTTACTTTTATATCATTTCACTAATTTAACATATGTTTAGATTTATCAACAATTTAAATTAAAGGGTAAAATTGAAAAAAATTTAGCGGGAAATTTTATTACTTGAGAATCAAGGTTTTGCCTAGTTTTATAGATGATTATTCGGTTATTCCTATACCATTTAGTTTACATAAGCAGTTCACTTAATTTCTCTTTCATAATCTATACGTGGTAAAATTTTATAAATTAATTTATCCATTTACCTAGGCTAATATCTTTCTTAAAATGTGTGACGAAGGGATGTATTGCAACTAAATAAAAACGGAAGAAATATGTAATAGTATTATTTTGTCAATTTCAACTCAAAATATTAAGATTTCGTGCGTTCAAATTGTTGTAATACAGAAATGAATAAAGTATTAATTTACTTTGATACCAAAATTTGGGCCATTAAAGACGAGAATTTTTTCTAGATGTGTGTATTACGAAGAATATATACTCAATAGAAGATATGGGGGAAACAGGTTTGGATTATCATTGTTGTGGTCCGTATCCTGTCTACTAAGCTAGTTGTATGTTGCCTAACTTACTTGACTAGAGCTAAAGTAGTGACACAACTAGTTTCCATTCATGGGATGATGGATAAATTCTACTAGTATAAAAAAAGACGACATGTAATACAACATTTACACCATTCAACTTTATGTTTTTCATCCATTAATCCCCTCAGCTCCCATAACCTTTAAATATAACAAAAACAAAAGTGCAATTCAACCATGAAAACGCTACAATACATAATCTTACTTTGTTGGGTTGTTCTGTTATGCTACCCGAGTCATGCTATCAAGTGTATCGACGGCGAGAGAAAAGCTTTGCTTCGATTCAAGCAAGGAATTGAATCTGATAACTGTGGGCTTCTATCTTCATGGGGAGATATAGAAGATTGCTGCCAATGGCGTGGTATTCGCTGCAGCAATCGTACTGGTCATGTCATCATGCTTCATCTTCGAGGTTGGATTAATGTCATTGAGTTCACCTCGGGTTGTTTGGAAGGTAAGTTGGACCCTTCCCTGTTTGAGCTAACACATTTGAAATATTTGGACCTTAGTAAAAATGGTTTCATCCAGACTATACCCAGTTCCATAGATTCCCTCACTGAGTTAGAGTACCTCAATTTATCTAGTGCTGGCTTTTTTGGTGAAATTCCTCCCCAACTCGGAAACCTTTCCAAATTAGCATCTCTTGATCTCACTCCCCAGTCCTATGAAGTCACTTTTAAAAGCTTGCAGTGGATGTCCCATCTTACATTGTTGAGAGAGATCCACCTTAGTGATAGTGATCTTAGTGAAGCCACCAACTGGTTCCAAACCATCAACAATCTTCCTTCCCTAAAGATCCTTTACTTGGATTATTGTCAGCTTCCTGCTACATTTCCGTCATCATCACTTTCATACATCAATTCCTCCACCTCTCTTCGTGTTATTAGCCTTGGTGGTAATAATTTCAATACCACTTCAATATTCAAGTGGTTGTTCAATATGAGTAGAAATGGTAACCAACTTGAATATCTTGACCTTTCTGATAACTTACTTTCAGGGCCTGTTCCAAGATCATTTGGGAAGTACATGTACTCCCTTTCATATCTTTACTTTGATGATAATTATTTTGAAGGTTCCATTCCTATCACATTTTCAAACTTGAGGGCCTTGAGAGAACTCTCATTCTATAACAATAAACTTAATGGTCCCCTTTTAAATGTCTTACAAGCTCTATCATGTGGGTGTGCGAACAAGCCACTTTTAGAGCATCTGGATTTGAGTATGAATCAGTTCTGGGGCTCTATTCCGAACACGATTAATAGTTTTACATCAATCAAAGAATTATATCTTTATGATAATCATCTGAATGGAACAATCAGTCAAAGTATTGGGCAACTTTCTATGCTTGAGATTTTGGATGTTTTTAATAATTCCTTAAAAGCTACTCTCAACCACAACCACTTCTTAAATCTCTCACGGTTGCAAATATTAGACTTGTCAGCCAACCCGGCACTAGTGCTTGACTCAATCAAAATTTTGAATCCCTACTTTCATTTGAACGTTATACGTTTGAGATCTTGCAAGTTGGGCCCTTCCTTCCCAAACTGGCTTCTAACTCAGACTAATTTCTCCTATCTTGATATATCCAATGCTCAAATTTCTGGTGAAATTCCTCCTTCCTTTTGGACAAGATCGTTGTCGCCCAATCTAAGGTATATAAACATGTCTCACAATATGATTCAGGGGGTGCTCCCTAATTTGTCAGCATCCTTTGACAACCTCAAAGTTATTGACTTCAGCTCAAACTACTTTGAAGGATCGATCCCATCTTTTGTTGGAGACAAAAATGTTGAGTCAGTACGCCTGAATGATAACACGTTTTCGGATGCCACTCAACTATTTTGTCCAAGAATAGCTAATTCGAAGCTAGTAGAGCTTGATGTATCAAACAATTTATTGTCTGGAAGACTTCCAAATTGTTTGATGAAAAGGGATCAACTCCAATATTTGCACTTGGAAAACAATAAATTCACTGGAAATATACCAACATCCATTGGTGACCTACTACAACTCCAATATTTGCACCTGCAAAATAATAGTTTTTCAGGAAAGCTCCCTAGTTCAATGTTGAACTGTATGTCCTTATATTTTTTAGATCTTGGGTATAATTCTTTAACTGGCTATATACCACCAAGCATTGGAAATGCTTTTGAATATCTCGCATATCTTAACTTACGTGGAAACAAGTTTTTTGGAAAATTGCCTTTAAGCCTTTGTCAATTATCCAATCTTCACATGTTAGATATTGCCATGAACCACATATCAGGCCCTATTCCAAATTGCATATATAATTTTACAGCGATGATGAGCGGGTCAAAAGACCTACAGTTTGATAATACTGGTGTTGACGTTGGTGAAGATTACATCGTTGGCTTGTTTAAGGAAGCTGCAATGATTGAGTGGAAAAGAGAAGAGCAAAGATTTGCAGGAACTTCATTAAGACTAGTGAATTATATTGATATGTCAAATAATGAGCTAGAAGGTGAAATCCCAGATGGAATCTCAAATCTTACTAAGTTACTATCCCTCGATTTATCAAGAAACAAGTTGACCGGAATCATTCCATCAAATATTGGGCAGCTTGCATCATTAGAATTTCTGGATTTATCAAACAATCACCTGTCTGGAGTTATACCTCGAAGCCTTGCTGATGTTAGCTCTCTGGCAATCTTGGATTTGTCAAACAACAACTTGTCAGGGAGGATTCCACTCGGAACTCAGCTACGAGGTTTTGATCCTTCATCGTACATGGGAAACCCATTACTTTGCGGGGCTCCACGTCAAGGTTGTGCAGGAGACGAACCACCACCCGCCATGACAATAAATAATGGAACAAATGTCACTCATCAGGAGGAGCATGGAATTGACACTTTTTATTTAGGGTTGTACATCAGTGTGGTGCTCGGATTTATTGTGGGATTCTGGGGAGTTTGTGGGACTTTAGTGGTGAAGAGAACATGGAGACATGCGTTTTTCAGCTTCTTTGGTGACATCAAAGACAAGATTTATGTCATGGTGGTGTTGAATGTAGCCAGAATTTGGAGGAAAGATTGAAGGTAATTATTCATAAATTTATTATTGGTTCAATATTACAGGTACAGTTTAAATCAACTAAGCAAAGATTATCTAATTTCTGCTTTCTTATTTTTTTTTTCGTGTAGGTGGGTGCCTGGGTGGTGACTTCTTTTTCTGGTGCATTCTCCAACTTGCATTTTCAACCTATTTATAAGGTAATGTCATTTATTAGTAACCGTTTCCCTGACTAATTATATTTTTTTGTTTTACGCCTTAATCATTTTTCTTCTCTTGTCTGATTTGGCAGGTTGATCCGTCTGTCGAGCTTCTGAGCAGTGGCTTGAACAAGAAAGGATTGTTGTTTATGTTTTTTACTAAGTCAATAATTAATAGTTGTGTGTATGTTTATAATTAATAGTTGTGTGTATGCTTATAATTTATAAATTTTTCTGCTAGTTACAATCCACTTGACTTATTACGCATTTTTTTAAATAATGTGTATGTTTAGTTAGTGCCTTTAGATCTTAAACAAAAAATAATTCCGAAAAAAAGTGGTTTCAAACTAAAAGTGACAGAAGTTTTTTTTTTTTTTTTTTTTGTAAAAAAAAATAAAATTAAGCGTTTACTTAGCTAAATAATCAATTTAAGGTTCTCTGTTTGTTGGCTGAATTGTATAGAATAAGCTAGTGGACAGAAATTGCTATGAAAAAACTAACAAGAATATCTTTGGCCATTACTGTGAAGTTTACTAACCATAATTTGACATAATCATATTCTTAAGTTAGTTGAAATTTATTCATACATAAGAAATACCCAATATCTACGCCCAATAATATTAATGGTCTTTCACTGGCCCAATACCCAATAATATCTGTGTCAAAAAAAAAAAAAAAAAAAACCAATATTATCAATCAATAAATAATTTCCTCTTCTCTCTGCTAATGCTACCGCAACAATGGCGGAATACGACTTAACACCACCAATGTCATCTTGTGTTTCCATTGCTGGAGTTTCTTCAAGAACGCGAATTGTACTATGATGCTCAGCTCTTCAAGAATAAAATCGACTTCCTCTACAAAACTAACATGGTTGATGGAGTTCCTCAAGGTAATTTTCTCTTTCCTAGGGTTTTGCTTTTGTTTGATTTGAGTGTAGAGTTGAGGTTCCTCAAGGTAACATCGTTGGAGGAAATTTTAGGAATTGCGTTCTGATAAACAGTATAATCTTCATATGCTTAATGATCGTTATCAGCTTTGCAAACTTTTGTTTCAATGATTTGATTGATTTGTAAATCATTCAATTATTGTCGTCTACTGTTATATTTTGTTTAATTTGATTATATTCAATGGTGATTCTAGTTGCGATGGTAGTTTAATTATGTGTTTCTTTCCGTTCTTAAACAATACTCTTGTAGAATAATGTGGTGTTTATCGCGAATTACAATGACTTACTAGTATCTTGAACTTTGTTGGTGGTTTTGTCACTCGTTTGTGTTTGTGTTTGTATGTGGGGTGGGGGGGTAGGGGATGATGTTTCATGTGGTGGAGTTGATGATTTGATTAATTGTTTGTGTGTTCGTGTGGTGGAGGAGATTTAGCTTCTTATTTCAGAATGCTAGTTAGAAGTTGGTTTGTTTTAGAAAGAGATGACAATATCACTTTAATTTTCATGTTGCTAGCATTGTTTCATGTTGCTAGATATAAAAATAAGCCTCTTATGATTTTGGTTGTTGATTCAGTTGTAGGCTTTAGTGCTTTAAGTGCTCCTTAACATTGTGTTCTTTGCTGTATTTTGCATTACTTCCTTCTGCGATTACCAATTGTATTATTTGTGTGTATTGCTGCTGTCTAGCTGTGATTATCTGTCTTCGTATCCGCTTAGGTGAGGGTTTTCACTTTTCAGTAGTCAGTACAGATGGTAGTTCATGAAGTCACTCTAAAGGGGTTTCTTGGGGGGGGGGGGGGGGGGGGGGTTGCTTTGACTTACAGTTATGGTTACTGTGTCATATTTCAGTTTGCATGCCGTTCAGTCTCCCCTTTTGTCTCAGACAGTCAGACACCTATTGCCTTTTAAACAACTTGGTGAGCCCTTTGTTCATTGGACTTGAGTTCCATTGCAGGCAGAGAATAAATGTCAAAGCATTGATTTCACTTCACATTAGCAATTTTATATTGGTTGCAGGGAGAAAAAGCCTTCTTATTGATGGCAGATCCATTGTGTCCTTGGAAGTATGCTCAAATAAGGACTCTATTTCACCCAGCCTACAAGTGATTTGTTTGTTGGGGAAGCCTGGGGAATGGTCATGCTTTCATGGTACTCAATCTGTCAATCATGGCTGAATTCAGATTGCCCTAAATTCTTCTCTAGTGCCATTAACTTTTGTATAGGTTTGAGTTTTTCTGATCACTTTTGATTTTGATATATTTTTTTTATTTCCTTTGTTTGAGCTGGTTTTGCAAAGCATTACAGAACTCTTTATCATGATTTTTGATGTGATAAGAAGCTACGAAATGCTTTTTAATGGTGAAAAATTAAAAAAAAAAAAATTGTCCTTCAAAGGACCATATGCATACAGGGGGTGTACTTTGTCTTTTGGTGAAGCAGTTTAGGTTATCTAGCGACATTCGATCAGGAAATCTATGGTTGATCTAGGATGACAATAGAAGTTGATGATGGTTTTTTGGGTGGAACTATGCATATAGCCCAGCATGGCAGAGTTTTAATTATGGTTATAAGACCAGTTGCTAATTTTATTGCTTGTTATACAGCTGAGTTTAATATCTATAAAACCTTTTCTAGGCATCTTCTTAGACCTCATTGTTGTTTTAATCAGATTGGGCCAGAGCAGATTGAGGCATTGTGTCTGTACGTAAAATTTCAATTTGAATGTGGGAACTATTCTGGTGCAGCTGATTTTCTCTATCAATACAGAGCCCTGTGCACCGACTGTGTAAGAAGTCTCAGCACATTGTGGGGGATGCTTGCTGCTGAGATTCTAATGCAAAACTGGGACATTGCGCTTTAGGAGCTTAATCGTACAAAAGAGATAATGGATTCTAAGGTCTTAATCTTTGTTCTTATCTGCTTGTTTTGTTGAGAATTAATATCTTTGTATGTTTGCATTTTTGTTGATGATTAGTTTATTTTGCAGGCTTTAACATCACCTTCGAATTGTATCAGGTACAGAGCAGGATATGGCTGATGCACTGGAGCTTATACATCTTTTTTAACCATGACAATAGCAAGACACTGATGATTCATCAACCAGGACAAGTAAGTCACTAAGTTGATCATTATATATCTGTTTCTGTAAATTTATTTTATTTATCTGTTTCCATTTGCCCTTGTCGTTTAAGAAGCTCTGTTGACTGTTGCTAATTTCACTTTTAATTTCCAAATCAACACATACTTTAGAACTATGTATGTGAAGTGAATGTTTCTCAATATATTGGCATAGTGCCATAGTTCTCTATATGTGCCTGAAAATTCAGCATATTTATCCCCAAAATGAGCATGTAACATTATCTTGCAGGTATCTTAATGCCTATTCAAACAATTGCTCCTCATCTTTTGCGTTATCTTGCTACTGCATTCATTTTATAATAGCATTAAGTGAGATATAATCTTTACAAATATTGTTTACATAAGAATTCTGTAGCTGATATGCACCCTTTATTCTGTAGTTGATATGCAGTTATGCACCCTTTAGGAGATAAAATGTCAAAGTAAAGACTTGTTACCCTTACTTGAATAAAAATATTTATGGTAATCAGATGGAGACATAATCTCCCAATCTGGCATAGTTTATCGATTAAACTAATAGTCATGCATTATACATATATTGGTAATAAAACAACCCTTACGCTTACAGTTACATATAATATATTTTTTAAAATAGAATTGATTTAGGGATGTATGAGACGTTTAACTTTTATTTTGGCAGAACGTTTAATTTAAAATTTTCTCATATAGGTTGACATACCACAATTTTGCCTTAGTGATTGTGTATATGTAAAAATGAGTTAGGAATAAGCTTGATAGCTAGTACTACATTATGTATGTGTTCATTGGAAGTTTGGAACATTACATTTGAAAAGTCAGTAAGTCATGAACCAAAACAAACGGTAAGAAGACTTTGAAAATAAATGCTTTCATGAACCAAATTAATCAAACAATAAGACGACTTTTGTCACACACACACCGCAAGATTAGACCCATCAATCGGGTCAGTCGGGTTGGGTTGTGGTCTGGTCACTTTCGGTCATGGTTCATTTAGGTAGGGTCACTTCGGGTGGTTGAGAAATGCTCAACATTAACTTAAAGTTTTTTGTTCGAGTCAACCCAACGGTTAAGACTAATTTTTTGATTTAGTTTATTTTTGACTAATTTTTAGAAATATTTGCACCGTGTATTATTAGACTGTTCAAGGATCATTTAATGTTGTGGTCCGTAGTCTGGCTATTTGCATGTTACCTTTGACTCTTTGAGCATGACTATAACTAAAGTCACACAATCAGCTCCCATTCACGAGATGATATATGAACTCTACTCGTACAAAAAAGATCTCATGTAATATTCACACATACATTTCAACTTTATGTTTTTCATCCGTTAATATTCTCCCGTATCCTTTAAATTTATCAAAAACAAAGGTGCAATTCAACCATGAAAACGCTAAAATACCTTATTATAATATACATATATGATCATACTATGTTGGCTTGTTCTGTTTTGCTACTCGATTCCTGCTATTGCAGGAGATGAGACTGAGGTTGGAGAGCATAGTAGCATCAAGTATATCGACCGCGAGAGAAAAGCTCTGCTTCGATTCAAGGAAGGAATTGAATCTGATTATTGTGGGCTTCTGTCTTCTTGGGGAGACGTAGAAGACTGCTGCCGGTGGCGTGGGATTAGCTGCAACAATCACACTGGCCATGTCATCATGCTTCATCTTCAAGGTATAAATGTATCCATGTCTTGTCTGAAAGGTAAATTGGACCCTTCCCTCTATGAGCTAACTCATTTGAATTATTTGGACCTTAGTCTCAATTATTTCAACCTGACTATACCCAATTTCATTGATTCCCTCACTGAGTTAGAGCACCTCAATTTATCTAGTGCTGGCTTTTTTGGTGAAATTCCTCCCTAACTCGGAAACCTTTCCAAATTAGTATCTCTTGATCTCAGTTCTAATGATAATGAGGGTTCTTCTGCTAAAAGCATGCAGTGGCTCTCTGGTCTCACATTGTTGAGAGAACTCTATCTTCAAGGAACTAATCTTAGTGAAGCCACCGATTGGGTCCAAACCATCAACAATCTTCCTTCCCTTAGAAAACTTTACTTGGATGATTGTGAGCTACCTGCTACATTTTCATCATCATCACTTTCATACATCAATTCCTCATCCTCTCTTCGTATTGTTAGCCTTTCTTTTAATAATTTCAATGACACTTCAATATTCAATTGTTTGTTCAATTTGAGTAGAAATGGTAACCAACTTGAATATCTTGACCTGTCTCTTAACTTACTTTCAGGGCCTATTCCAAGTTCATTTGGGAAGTACATGCACTCCCTTTCATATCTTGACCTCTCTTTTAATCAATTTGAAGGTTCCGTTCCTATTACTTTTTCAAACTTGAGGGCCTTGAGAATACTCTCATTATGTGGCAATAACCTTGATGGCCCCCTTTTAAATGCCTTCCAAGCTCTATCATGTGGGTGTGCGAACAAATCATGTCTGGAGCATCTGGATTTGAGTGTGAATCAGTTCTGGGGCTCTATTCCGAACATGATTACTACTTTTTCATCAATCAAAGAATTACATCTTTATAAGAATCATCTGAATGGAACAATCAGTCAAGGTATTGGGCAACTTTCTATGCTTGAGATTTTGGATGTTTTTAATAATTCCTTAAAAGCTACTCTCAACCACAATCATTTCTTAAATCTTTCACGGTTGAGAATATTAGACTTGTCAAACAACCCGGCACTAGTGCTTGACATCAATCAAAATTGGATTCCCTGCTTTCATTTGAACGTTATAGGTTTGAGATCTTGCAAGTTGGGCCCTTCCTTCCCAAAATGGCTTCTAACTCAAACTAATTTCTCCTACCTTGATATATCCAGTGCTCAAATTTCTGGTGAACTTCCTCTTGCCTTTTGGACAAAATCGTTGTCGTCCAATCTAAGATATGTAAACATGTCTCACAATATGATTCATGGGGTGCTCCCTGATTTATCAACATCCTTTGAGACCCTCCAAGTTATTGACTTGAGCTCAAACTACTTTGAGGGATCAATCCCATCTTTTGTTGGAGATAAAAATGTTGAGTCCATACGCCTAAACGATAACATGTTTTCGGATGGCTCTCTGCTATTGTGTCCAAGAATAGCTAATTCAAAGCTAGAAGAGCTTGACCTATCAAACAACTTGTTGTCTGGAAAAATTCCAAACTGTTTGATGAAAATGGATAAACTCGTATATTTGCACTTGGAAAACAATAAATTATCTGGAAATATACCAACATCCATTGGTGACCTAGCACAACTTGAATATTTGCACTTGCAAAATAATAGCTTTTCAGGAGAGATCCCAATGTCATTGTTGAACTGTACGTTTTTATCGTTTCTAAATGTTGGGAATAATTATTTAACTGGCTATATACCACCAAGCATCGGAAACACTATACTAGATCTCGCTTTTCTTAAGTTACGCGGTAACAAGTTTTTTGGAAAATTGCCTTTAAGCCTTTGTCAGTTATCCAATCTTCGCATGTTGGATGTTGCCATGAACCACATATCTGGCACTATTCCAAATTGCATATATAATTTGACAGCGTTGATGAACGGGTCAGAACACCTATTTTTTTATGAAGATGGTTTTGACATTGGTGAAGATAATCACATGGTTGAATTGTTAGAGGAAGCTGTAGTAATTGAGTGGAAAAGAGAAGAGCGGAGATTTGGAAAAGCTTTATTAAGACTATTGAATTATATTGATTTGTCAAACAATGAGCTAGAAGGAGAATGTGCAAGTGTTGTACTTATTAGAGGGCTATGTATGCTCTTGTAATAAACAGAACTTTCTAAGTTTCTATCTCTGTTTTCCAGTGGCTTAGCCCACAATCTAGCGAGTTTTAAAAAGTTAACTTGTCAGAGTACTTTATAAATGTTAAGGCGAGTTTAAGGTTAATTTTCCAGCTTAAAATTTATAAATTTTACTGCTAGTTACAATCCACTTGACTTAGTACGCATTTTTCAAAATTAGGTGTATGTTTAGTTAGTGCCTCTAGATCTTAAACAAACAATAATTCCGGAAAAAAAAAAGTGGTTCCAAACTAAAAGTGACAGAAGTTTTTTTAAGAAAAAAATAAAATAAAGTATTTACTTAGCAAAATAAGCAATTTAAGGTTCTCTGTTTGAGGGCTGATTTGTAATAAATAGGCTAGTGGACAGAAATTGCAATGAAAAAACTAACAAGAATAGTGCATCATTCTTACCAGGATCAATGTGAAGTTTACTAAACAATTTCTGCATCTTGTCCAGAGGAAGATTCCGTACACCAACTTGCTTCCCCTATCAGCCTATCTCCAAAATATGAAGGAAACAACCACTTATATTTCATTAAGGTTAATAGCTATGCATCGTAATTCCACTTATTTGGGTAATTAAGGGATAATCAATCAATTATCAATTACATACTACTAAAAGCGAATCTGAAGGAACACTTGGCAACATATTATTAAAAAAATTCCCGCCAAAATTACTTTCTAAAAAAATTGTTATTATATAAAAATAAAGATTGCATTTGGATTATGACTTTTTTTTATATAAATTCTAAAATAAACTTCCTAAAATATCAACTTGCACATTATAACTATAAATATTTTCTCTCACATGTTTTAATTGTTTTATTACATTTCATGCACTTTAATACCTGATGAATCCATTCATTAATTTTTTATATAATTATATTATTATCATAATTATTCAACAACCGTGCATTTGCACGGGGTTTAACCTAGTTAAGGCAACTTACAACTTAAATAAAATCAAGTAAGCTTAAAATTCGGTGAATAGAATGTACTCTGAGTTCATACATCATTCATCATTGTACTTTGTTACTATGGATTGTGGACAAACGTCAACCATTGTTAACATAAAATTTGAAAATGTGTAAAATTCAATCTCGTGCCCAAGAACAACATTCAGCTTATTTACAACAGATTACTTTTTTGAGCATGTATTTAAACTAAGGACATATATTGTGCACCTTATTTTACTTATTTCATTAAATTCAGGTCCACATAAAGTTAGTTAAGTTTATAGAAGCTACCAACTTACCAAGTTCAATACTAATTTACTATGGAGTATGTACCAACAATTATCAGCATAAAAAAAATTGATAAAATGTGTGAAATTCACACTAAACTATACGAAGTACAAAAAAAAAAAAAAAAAAAAAAAAAAAAAAAAAAAAAAAAAAAATTGTATAATCAACACACACTTTAGAACTATGTATGTGAAGTGAATGTTTCTCAATATAGTGGTGTAGTGCCATAGCTCTATATGTGTTGTCCCGTGCTATGAATGATGTTAAAAATATATTTGTAACAAAATAATACTTAAGGATATTGATGGTTAAAGTTGTTTCTCGACAAATGTGCAAATCCAACTCTAACATATAAAAAACGGAGCAGTATAATATAATAAAATAACTTTGTTTGATTGTTCTTACAAACATTATGCATAATTTTAAGATTTATACAAAGTATGCTATCAAAATATTTTTTTTTTCTATTTTTAATTAAAATAAATTTTAAGTTGGAGGAAAAAAAATGATAATATTATAATAATCTTAGATAATGATATACGAAGTATTTCAATACTTTAATTTTAATCTATGTTACTATATTTGTAACTAAAAGATTCCTAGTATATAAAATATATATTACAAAAATAATAATAAAAAAATTAATTGAGTATGATTGGATTAAATGTGTTGTCAAAATAGAAATAAGTATTATTGTAGGTTAAAAATTGGAAGTCATTCAAATTTGGCAATAAATAAATAAATAAAGAAAAAAAAAGGCGGGAAATTTTTTAATGACATCATGACAATCACTTTAGGTTCGCTTTTAGTATAGGTTAATTCCTAACACTAAATTAGTGTATTACTACCTACTACAATAACTCTTGTTGCAGTTTATCTACATAGATGATAGAACCATGACTCCAAAGCTAAGGACAGCACGATGCACAATACTATCCCATCCATATAACAGTTATTTTGGTCTTTAGAAAGGCATAAGGTCGGGTAATGAGAATCGATCCCAAAATCTATTAGAACTGAGAGGGAAACTTTAATCACTTGAGTTATCCTTCACTTTCATCTATATAATAGCCAATTATTGGTTAAATTTATTATTTACATTTGTTTTATTAAATGCAAAACTTGTAAAATTAGGCCTTCGTTTAAGTGCAACTCCTCTAAAATGGTTTCTCTACACTTTTTAAATCCTCTGCCTCTAATTCTATGCATGGTTCTCAATCTTACTTTTAAACGGAGTATCGTTTATTTCATTCGTCTCATATCACTTATTTTATACCGTATAAATTATTGACTTACTTTCTCTTTATAATCTTTAATTCCCTAACAAATCACATTTACATACTTATGTATTATTTTGCATCAATTTCATCTCGAAGTATTAGGTAGAATCCGTGCCTTGTAAAAAAGGGTATTAATTTAGCTTTGACACCAAAATTTGGGCCATTAATACATGAGAAAAATCTTCTGAATGTTTGTAGGGTATCATGTTTGAATATTTCATAGAAAATGGGAGCCGGATTCATATTTGCACGGTGCATTATTAGACTTGTTCAATAATCATTAAATGTTGCGGTCCGTACCATGGCTAATTGCATGTTACCTTTGAGCGTGACGAGACTAAAGAGACACAATCAGCTCCCATTCAAGGGATGATGACCTCTACTCGTATAAAAAAGATCTCATGTAATGTAATGTAATGTAATATTCACACATATAATTTTACTACTTTATGTTTTTCATCCGTTAATCCCCTTCCTTTTCTTTAAAAATTATCAAAAACAAAAGTGCAATTCAACCATGAAAACGTTACAATACCTTATCATACTTTGTTGGCTTTTTCTGTTATGCTACTCGAATCATGCTATTGCAGGAGCTGCTGAGACCGACTTTGGAGAGCAAAGTAGCATCAAGTGTATCGACCGTGAGAGAAAAGCTTTGCTTCGATTCAAGCAAGGAATTCTCTCTTCATGGGGAGACATAGAAGATTGCTGCCAATGGCGTGGCATTCGCTGCAGCAATCGTACTGGCCATGTCATCATGCTTCATCTTCACGGATATTTTGTCCGATATGGTGAGTATATAATTTGTGTGGAAGGTAAGTTAGACACTTCCCTCTTTGAGCTAACTCATTTGAAATATTTGGACCTTAGTTTCAGTGGTTTCGACCAGCAGCCTATACCTAGTTCCATTGATTCCCTCACTGAGTTAGAGCACCTCAATTTAGCTAATGCTGGCTTTTTTGGTGAAATTCCTTCCCAACTCGGAAACCTTTCCAAATTAGCATCTCTTGATCTCAGTTTAAATCCCGAGCTCACTGCAAAAAGCTTGCAGTGGCTGTCCAATCTTACATTGTTGAGAGAAATCAACCTGAGTCATAGTAATCTTAGTGAATCCACCGACTGGATCAACAAACTTCCTTTCCTAAGAAAACTTTTCTTGGATACATGTTATCTACCTCCTACTTTTCCATCATCAACATTTTCATACATCAATTCTTCGATCCCTCTTCGTGTTGTTAGCCTATCTTATAACATTTAAGCCTTTGTCAATTATCCAACCTTCACATTTTGGATGTTGCTAAGAACCACATATCAGGCATTATTCCAAATTGCATATATAATCTTACAGCAATAATGACAGCCTTGACAGGCATGTCATACGGACTTGATGTTAGCGGGATTGGTATTGGGGAGACCGATATGACGTATCATGAAGCTTCAATAATTGAGTGGAAAAGAGAAGAGCAAAGATTTGGAGAAACTTCATTAGGTCTAGTGAATTATATTGATTTGTCAAATAATGATTGATGATAGTTGAGCAAGGAGTTATTAGAGTAAACCATACATGAAGAACAAGGAATCTTAGAAACAAAATCGGGTTTATTAGTGATGAATTTCCATGAATTGTTCTTCAAACTATAAATATAATATTCAGCCTGCTTCGGAAAAGGATAGCTATATACAAAACATAAGATTTTATAATCATGATTCACGACGCTATCATATCCAAACCCGGCCATAATGTGGGTGCCCTCATTCTTTGGAAACAATGGCGGTAACATGTTAACAGCGCCTGTTAACGGATTATAAAGCGAAAACTGTCTACATTTATAGTTTTGAAGGGAAGAATCAACATTGTTTATTTTCTGAAAACATAGCAATCCGTGGCAAGAACCAATGAGTCGTTGATTAACCATTGGAAAGTTAGAGAGGCGAGTTACCTGGTTGACAGGGGAATGGTAATCCAAGGAGTACAAACGAGATGATCGAGGACAAAAAAGGATGATTGAGCCACTTGGATTTGTCCTGTTGCTTTCGAGAAGATGGCGAGTGTGTAAACTGGTGAAATTGGGGTGGTGGATGATATCATCAACCCAATGTCATCTATTAGTAAACCTTTCCCTGACTAATTATATTTATGTTTTACAGCTTAATCATTTTTCTGCTTAACCCAATAAGGCATAGGGGCAGGACGACCAATAAGGCGAGTATACTGCTCAGTAACCATAACAGGGGTAGGACCAGCAAAGAAGTAAAGGTCAATAATACCCCCAATAACCTTATAAGTAATCCTATCACCTTTATACTCAACATCCATCCCATTACTATTCATCAACAAAACACCATGACTGGATCCTTTAATGGGCGAAGATCGAACATCCATGTAAAACGGGTGGGCCCCATAAAGGTTAACATCAGGGGTACTACTCGGAATATCAGCATTCCACATTGTAAGAGTTTGATTTTGGGCCAGTTGAAAAGTGGGCTTGATGTGTTCACCAAGCCCATAAAGGTGTGAAGTTTGAGCTGGAAGAGAGGAGGATAGTTGGATGTATTGGTCTTTGAAGATGAGGAAGGTGGTGGGATCGCCGGCGGTTGGGGCGGTGTTGAAGAGGACATCGCCGGTGGAGCGCCGGTTGATGGAAAATCCGAAGGGTGTGGTTTTGTGGAGGTTGAATGTGAGGTCGGAGTTTGGGTCGGATAGTTGTAGGTTTTGGTTATTTGTGAGGAATGAGAAAGGGTATTTTGGGAATGTGGATGGTTTCGGGGGTGGTGGTCGGGTGATGACTTCGTCAGGAAGTTCCCACCGGTCATTGTCGGCGTCGGTGACTCGGACTCTTAGTATGTCGTTTGACTCCAAGCTGTTAATTTAAGTTCAAGACAAGTAAAAACCGCGACATTAGTTAAGTAGGAGTAATAAAGAGGGGACTTGTAATTTTATTTTGTAAGGCTATATAAAAAAAATTAAGTGAGTATCATTTTTGTTTTTTTTTTTCCTTAACTACAAGTCCATAAGCAAAACTCCCTAAAAAAAAAAGAGTACAAGTTAATGGGTACTGTATCCCTCTGTTTTGCCGTTTTGCCATTTTGAACCACATATTTGTGACATTAAGCAACAGTTTTCATAAATCATACAAACTTATTGGTACATGGTCAAATATTTTAAACACGATAGGAAGTAACTTAATATGTAGCAATATAAATGTTTCAAAAAAATTACTTCATAATATACTTGTATGAGCTTGTACATATTTTAGTAATCATATTGTATTACTAATCGATTGATCATGGATCTCAATGTATTAATAATAATTGTATGTCCATTATCATATAATTGGAGGGCGAACAGATCGGAAGGTATTACGTACATTCACATCAATACCATGTGAAAAATATAAAGCCAATACTGAAAGACTAAAGAGATCAAGAGTTGAGTTAAACCTGGCAGTGAGGATGAGGGACTTAACGTCAGATCCATAGACTGCGGAGCTCTTCACAAGCGAGAGCTTCGCAGTCAAAACTTTGCCATTAGAATCATAGTCTGCCCACTTCACCTTATATCCATGACCAATGTTTTCATCACAACCATTTTCTGATTCCGACGACGCCGAAATCCCCCTCACTAAACATAGTGAGACTAACAGTATTCCAATGTTTTCATCACAACCATTTTTGGAGAGGTATTTACAATGTTTCCTCTCTAACTTGCATGACCTTTAAAGTTAATAATGTGTAAGTGTGTATATAGCCTAAAAGAACAAAGATTTTCCCACATGGGATATAGAATGATGGAAATTATTTGTGTGGACGCGACAACGTGAGCAATATTGATAATTATTTAGGCCGACTCAAGATGGTCCAGTCTTTTGTTATAAATGAATTGAATTTGAATTTAATAGAAGTAAATTAAAATAAATTTAATTACTCAAATAAAATTGATTAAAATGGACTGAAAAATATACTACCCCATTATTAAAAGTTCGACTCACTTACTATTCATATGGTCAAAATAAAATAGCGTTTACCATATTTTATTAGTTATACGATATAAATGAATTAATTAGCATGTGAGATCTTATTAGATTTCTCTTATTATAAATAATCCAAACATCAATTTTTTTTTATAATTTTCACTTATACACAATCTGAGTTATTCATGGTCGAAGATGTTCATTAGAGACCGCGCAATTGCAAAGTGAATCGAATTTTCAGGAACATAGGTAGTATATAAGTCTAAAAGAAGATTATCTAACTCGTGAATTAAATTTATGATAAATTACCTAATAATGCATATGAAGCTAACTTAATTTGAACGATTGTTTTTCACATAATCTTTGTTATTATTTGAGAATTTTACAGTAGTCGTTTCTTGGCATTTGGTCATTGGCATTTTATGATGATGTCGTGAATTGTATGCATATAGTTAGTGACTTACTAACCAAACAGCCATCGACATTTATTTTTATCATTTGATGTTTTATCATTTGTTATCATAAAGACCGTCAAATAAATAGATGGTCATAGTTATACTTAAGTTAAAGCGTATTAATAAAGAGACCGACATAAACTATATTTTACTCCGTAAACATATTTTTCAAAGGACATACTACTGATTGATCCACACATGATATGAGAAGATTTTGCAATGAGAAGTTAGATTTGTGTGGATGAATATTGGTTACAAAATAAAATTCGGGTCATCTGGTTCCTAGTCTATTATCCCAGCTTTAGAGAAATGTCCTTATATCTGCCAACCCAGCCCCACTTATATCTTTTGAGGCTCCAACAAAAATGTCATTTTCCTACTTTATAATTAATTATTGATCATATCGACATTTATTTTACACACGTGGGAGAAGTTTTAAAAATTACTGTATTATGGCTAGCGCTCTTTGACGGGGTTTTGGGGAGTTTAAATGTGAGCGGTTTGAAGTTTGAACAGTGGCGGATTCAGGATTTCGATATGGCGAGTCACGATTAATAATAATTGATTGTTTGTTTCAATCTAAAAATTATATTTAAAAAATATATATTTCACTAAAATGATTTCAATCCAAAAATAAGACATAAACTAATATCATACATAAAAATTAAATCTTACAAATTGAAAGTACGTACTCTAAATGAATAACATGTTATAAACAAATGGTACTATAAAATTATTACATTAAATTAACTTTATGATTTTTTTTACTTGATTGATAAGATTTGTGGGAAAATATTAAAATTGGTTGCACAAACATAGTATAAATAGAAACAAGAATTATTAAAAAATTATATGGAGTACAAAAAAAAAAAAAATAACGAGATAATTTAAAAGATCGGTTATATATGATAAATAGTTTTATAGTTTTTTTACTTCATATTTCTTCCGTTTTAATTTACCAGCAATATACTTGTATTACTTTAACATGTATTTTAAAAAAGTATTAGACTAACCGACTAGATAAATGGACAAATCAATTTGAAAGAAAAAATTATCCAACATCAAAACAAACAATAACATTGATGCGAAAATCCTAGTAGGCATTTTATTGTTTAAGTTTTTACTTGAGTACATGACAACTTGAATGGTTACCTAATTAAAATGACTAATTTATAAATGAACGGTTGAAAACAGAAATTTGTACAAATGTACCAGAGGAGATAATATGATGATGGCTAAACCGTAATAGGCAATATTTTGAAAATGATTAGAAAACTAAGGCATTTGATTTGGAGAACGATATCACTACACTATTTCCTCAACCATAACCTTCAACCACAATTTTTCTATCGATGTAGTCAATTCTAACCTTTATTTGTTTCTTAATTCAGTCACATATATAAACAAATAATCTTCAATCATATGGAAAACATAAAAGCGGTATCGTACACAGAACAACATTAGAACCATAGTAACACCTTTGGATCTTCTAAACAGCAAGATTGGGATCATCTAAACAGTAAGATATATGCAACAACAAGAAGTAACATATAATACTTGGAATTTAAATCTCAAATCTCTCAAACTACATGTTTCTAGTGCAAACTAATGCTTTTTTTAATTTCAAATAGTTGAAATAACCTCAACTTGAATGTTAGATCGATGTTACAATATTTGGGTACGCACTTATCAACTTTTGTCAGAGTCATCATACTTCTCCAACCACCAGTTGTCATGGAAACAATGGAAAATCTAACATTTTTTATAACTGGTTCAAAGAACATAAAAAAAAAATTATATTAAAAGTATTCATAAATTAACAAATTACCTGAAATTATATATATAATTTTTATATTTTTGTGTCAATTTACCACATAACAAGGAAAAACAAAAATTTGAGATTTCTTATCAATATTAAAGCCGACAACACAACGTTGTCAAGAGAAAGCCAAGGGGTTGAAAATTATTCGGTTCAAATATTCTTTGTTATCTCAACAAAACTTTCCATGAATGACTCATTATATTGCGTAAGAAAGTAGATTAAGTCATACGAATGAAATGACTTAGAATTAAAGATAATTTTCACATTGAATTAAACTGTTTATGAGAGAAAAAAAATTAGGAACTGAAATGAATTGAAATGAAATTAAGAATAGGTACTAAATCGAGATATGAAAGTTAGATTAATCTACTAAATCTTGATAAAGAAGGGTTAACACTTATTAATAATAATAATAATAATAATAATAATAATAATAATAATAATAATAATAAATGGACTTCGAACACCTAAAAATACGGAGTACCAGAAATCTTGTTTACATTGAAATATAAATAGTAATACAAGATTAAAAATGACGTAAAAGTTGCTGGAATATACAAAGTTTCAGGATAAATTGGGGAAAGTAATAAAATATAAAGGTAGTATGGTTGGTTAAAGAATAAAAAATTGTAAAAATCCAAAAATAGTGGAGAGAATTGAAGGAGAGAAAATATAGATCTAATATTCTTAGGTCCACTTGATGAGAATTAATTAGCTTTCCAAATAAGAAAATTGATCAAATATTATAATAATAATAATAATAATAATAATAAAAAATTAAAAAAAGCCTATAAAAAATGTAGAACAAGTATTTAAAAACGAAGAAAGTATAAGCTAAATTCTTGTGACTTTTATTTTTATTGTTAAAGTAAAAGTTGTCTCTCAGGCTCTCAGCAATGGCTGGGTAAGTTAATACTAAATTTACAAGCAATGGAAATTTCATTAATAAAATAATTTGTGGTTTAGACAATCCTTCCAAACATATGAAGCTGAAATTATGAAGGTTTATTACAAAATGCATAGAACATGAAAACTTACTGATCTCGGCTTTATCTGATTTTATTGCATCTCAGTAAGGTACATTATACAACTGAGTACAATGCCAATAAAAATAAATACCTGAACAGGATCGAGCATTTGAAGCACAATAATAGAGAGATTTAATGGCATTACTCAGTACAATAACAATTTAAATTCATGTCCTATTAACAAGTTCAGATCAGAAATCTCAGCTACAATGAACTGCTCTTTACCATCTGGAGTTAAACTAAGTTTGGATTTGTCACATTTTCTCGCTCCAGCCCCTGTGTGTACTATGTAGCCCTTGATCTTTGTGCCTTTTCCCAAACCTAATATGGTTATCTTGTTAATGATCCATTTTTGACTCACTGCGAATTCTCCATTGACAACAGTTGAGCTGATAACATTAGTCTGTTTTGCTGTTGCAGCAATGAATTTTACAGAGGTCCATTTGCCTCCCTTCACTCCCATAGTCAACTCAACTCCATCATCCAAGAACAACTCCCCGGAGCTGGTCCCATGATCACTCATGACCACTAATAGATGGAATGGCGTCCTGCGTGCTGCTCGGGTTGTCATAGCTTTGCCTTGCATTGCCAGAATATTACCTGCAGTAATCAGAGGGGAATAGATTGAGTATTCCCCTTTATGGTGGATAGCAAAGCCAGAATAGTAAGAAATGTCACTTTATAAATTATATCCCCTGTCACATGGGCTTCACTACACATTTACACTTCAAGTATCTCTATATATAAGATGATCCACAATTTGATATGGGTAGGCTAGATAAATTAATTCAAGTCATTGGACTACTTTAACACTCAAGATGCATGTTATTTTCAGATTCTCATAGCTGAGTCCATAATGAACTGTGCCTAAATTTCCAGGTTTTAGTGTAATAGACTAACCTAGAGGGGTAGTATGGGCATTCTAGTAATATTAGTTTAGTAGGGTTAATAGCCCTTAGTATAAATAGAGAGGTAAGGGGAAAGAAAGAGATTAGGCAAAAATTGGATGAAACTTGTTGAGAGTTGTGACCTCAAGTCACTCCTTGGAGAGTTGTGAGCTAAACTCACTTTTGAAGATTGATAGCCTTAAGCTATTATCCTATCTTTTGTAACCATTCAACCATTATCAATCGAAATCCAAGCTTTAATCTTTGTTTACTTGCATTATTAAATCAAAAATATAATCCCAGAAAGTCAGTTCATTACATTTAGCTATTGTTGGACTCCAGTGGGAAAAAAAAGAGGTACGAAGTAAGAATTATTACCTTCTCGAATGTGAACATTGATATGATCAGGGGGTGCACTAAGGGTAACACACCTTCCAGTGGAAACAGTCACTGAATGAGTATAATTGAACAGATCAAACCAGTTTCCTCGAGGAAAGTAAGCATTGACAGATACCACACCAGGTCCCAGGACTGGAGAAACCATTACACCCCTACCAAGAAGGAACTGTGAGCTGATACCATAAGTTTTGATATCCTCGGGAAAAGAAAAGAAAAATGGTCGTGCTATAGGGATTCCTTTCAACTGTGCCTTGTACATCAAAGTATAGAAGTAAGGGAGAAGCGTGTAGCGGAGTCCCAAGACTTTCCTAGCCGATGCAGCGACTGATTTCCATCTGTAGAGCTCTTGATAGGTAGTACCAAGTGTTGAATGATCTCTTGAGAATGGATAAAAGGCCCCCAGCTGTATTCAAAAATTTCAAACACATTCAATTAAGTAATGTATTTTTATTGAAGATTATTGATGCAGACTTTATACTCTCACAACAAGTATTACCAAAGAGGATTTGATGACAACATCTGGTAACAAAAAAAGGGTGAATTAAAAGAAGCCTTTGGTAAGCAGAATTTTTAAATTTTTTCTTTTAAAAAAAAGAAAAGAAAAGAAAAAAAAAAAAAAAAGCAACAAAATCGCCCTTTTGGATACTTACCAAGGAGGGATTTGACAACTGCTGCCTTCTTTGAGCCATAAAATAAACAAACAAACTTCTCAACTAAACAGCTAATCTTACCCATTTCTTCTCTGTGTCTACATATACTAACTGGTGTACCTAAAATAACATTTTGGAGAAAATCCTATGCAATGATAATAATTGACATGTTCTTAGATTTACCTGTATCCAGCGCCGACAAAGCTCTTCAGTTGTGTTCCCAAGAAAACCACAAATATCAGCT